AGCACACATCTCCGGATTCCTGGAGCAAATGTAATTCAGGTTTTGTTTGCAAACCTGACTAGTCGGCATTCTTCTCACTGAGTGCGGACTATCTGTAAAGTGGTCTCCCACCTGTGATAGGTTATGCCAAGAAGTTTCGCGCCATGAAGCGATCTTCGGACAAAATATTTATCGAACTTCTATCTCGGCTTTCTGTCCTTTAACCTCAGTTCAAGGGGGGTTCGATTATGGCTCTCAATGAATCCCCTTTCATTAGCTACATTCATTGGTCCAGCACCGTAGAAACCCTCCCAAATTACAAGTGCATCGAAAATTCTGCCGGTGCTGTGTACACGGAGTAGCATTTCCTCATTCACACACTCTGTGTATTTAGCTTGTATTACCCGAGAGCAGAAGCACACATATATATACATGTACACATACGTACACACACGTACACACACGTACACACACACACGTACACATACGTATGTACATATATACATATAAACATGCTCTTGTTCCGGCTTCTACTTGCTAATAGAAATTCAACTTGCTGCCCTCTTATGGATTGTTTGTTCACGCCAATACGTTTCATTGGATTCTACAGCCTTATCAACTCNCGAGCTCCACAGATAAGTTTGGCTTCCCCGTCAGCTCCAAAATACCACCTGGTGCGTAAGAAAGCTATTATTTCATCGGTTCACTTGGTTGACTTCGTACGGCATTCCATATTGTACTTTGAAATCAGAGCGAAATCCGTAATTGAATCAAGTCTGAGGGAAAGCAGTGCGAAATTTATGCACTTTGTGAGGATACTTCCGCCTGAGAGAAATTGTGGCAATGAATGCCACCAAGTGCGTTCTTCTTCCGGTCAGTGTTTGTGGGCCTCTTTTGACGCTGCCTTCACATCTTGATTTCCACACCAGTGGTTTTGAACAAGTAAACTGCCCTTTGTCACATAATTGACAAAAGTGGGTGGGTCTATTTGAGTGAATTTGGTTTTATTCGAGAGATGAAGTTGCAAGCCACGGGCCCGCATATTCACTGCGGCCTTAGCCTTGAATAGTATTCAGAATGATGAAGGCCTGCAATGTCGCCTGTCAGCCTTGTTGAAATTAATTAACCATCCCAGTAAACACGCTACCGGTGGCCATCGGTGGCGAAAGGTATCAAATAGGGGTGGCGTGTTACGCTTGCCATCGATGGCACCACCGGTGGCTAAGGGCGGCCAAAGGTGGAAACCCAAAAATACATGATATATTTAATCGGTGGTGCATTCAAACAAATCGATTTCAAAAACGACCCTTTAAATAGAGCTCGAGCGTCAAGAATATCCTGTTACATTTGTTTTCAGAAGGCTTTCATGCAACATATGGTGCAACATACAAGACCTGGATGCGATCATTTATCGTGGTTCAATGGCCAAGTCCCAACGATGGTAGCTACAAACCGCCAAACCTGGGAGCTTTCTGTGATAGTTGCGGACGTTTTCGACCCCTGCGGCACCGGGCAGGAGCTGGGCGCGACTGCCGATCGATTAACACCGTCAGAATAGATTGTGCGCTAAGTAAGCCATGTACACTTATCCAACCAACCATCAAACCGCGCGACACCATAGGCAGGTCGAAAAAGGAAACGGCTAGTTTTATTGTTCCGATAAGAATCCATCTTCATGCATGTTCTCCTTTCAACCAAATTGGAGTACATTATTAGTTTGCACTGGAGGATTACACTTTTCTGGGAAGTGAGGCGTTGAAGCAGCAAATTTTTAAGTTAATCTAAGCTAAAATTCGTTTGTCCACGCCCAGGACCCACAAAGACTCCGTCTTTCCAGACCGAAGCCCTCTGTATGCGTCTTTGAATTTAAACGGCAATTTCGTATAACCAACGGTCTCGAGTGATCAGAAACCGGCAACGTGGAAGACATTTAGAGAGACGCATAGAGTTGAAGGCGGGGTGTTCGGTGGAAAATGCAGGTCAGCTAATTTATCACGGACACTCACGACTTTAGAGCGTAAAGAGTGGAAAAAATACCCACAAATTCTATGGATCATAAGCAGCCCTCAGACAACCACCATTGCGTCATTAAACTGAATTTGCTTTTAACCAAAGTTCCGAGCTTAACAGACAAACCTGCTGCGAAGCTACAGGAAAGCCTTCAGGTTGGGAAGTAAATCTAATAATAGTAACTCGTTTTGAGAGGCCACAGGTAGCCTCATGCTTGGCAAACGATCCAACGTTGATCCACAAGCTGCCAGTTTTTTAGCTACACGTGGATTTACGCATGCACAGCGAAATTATTTTCTGCTCAAACTTCCTGGTTTTCGGTGACAGTGGCAGGCTTGTAGTCCACTAAACAGAAAAGCAGCGACACCAAGGAACATGCTTAACATCACTACCGCCTGTGGTGCTCGCAAATACTTGTACTTGAGACCTAACTTATCAAAATCACCCATTTGGGGTTTAACAAATGTCGGTGAGGGACACTTCAATCTTTCAGTGCAGCTCGAAATGCATAATGCTTACAAACGATTACATAAGTTGGACTACCCAGCAAGTGCCCAACAAAAGTAAACACGCCGAAGGCCACCGTGACACACCGAAGTCCGCTTTGTCTCTCATGTTAATATCTCAAGCACGTTGTTTGGTAAGTTGTTAACCACGCTATTCTGAAGGTTCAAACTTTCAACGGCCCCATTTACACATCCCAACATGGGTTCATTCCGTCGGCTTCTTGTCTCTCCATCCGAGCCCTGTTTAACTCAGCACCGACAAGGGCTCGGAATCAGAGATCGGTGCCCATAGGAACTTTCTCAATTCTTCGAGGGCTTCTGAGAGGATTCTAGAGGCTGGGATCATCCAGGGTCGTAAAAGACTTGGCATCAGCGGTTCGCTGTCTGACTGTTGATATCAGTAAGTGACCGACTTAAAGACTTTTTTGAAATATTTAGTAGCATGCTCTGCGGAGATCCCCTTAGCCCTCCGTTACTTCATCCAACCCTTCATCTGCTTTTGCGTGCGAACGAGCTTAATTTTGGATGAAGCAATCTAGTCATCTTTCAGAAATCTGTTATTGCCTATTTTGCTAAGTGCTCTCAATTATTGAAGGCAAAACTGAACGCACACATTTCTGCAGCTTTCGTCTACACCCATACTTGAAACTAAACAAGCGCCCGTTTTGTGCAAAAAAGCACTAACCTATGTGCTCAAAACTATGTTGTTCTTTCCTTGTCAAAGTCGTACTTCCGCGCTTCCTCTAGGGTTACGCTGGACAACCATCTTGTCCCTCGCCTCTCTTTATCCATCGGCCTTGAAAGATTAACAACGACATAATAAAACCGCTTCGAGGGAATTTTAGAGCAGTGTAGATAACGTAAAGAACCTGGCTCTAACATCCCTAAAAGCATTCATCAAAAACCAATCCATATTACTTCATCGATTTATAGCCTGTTTTGGTCAGAACAGCTAGATCAACCACTTCCTTTTTCGAGATCATGTACCACTTCCGACTGCGACATTCACTCATTCCGTGCATTACAGGGTTGCTATATAGCCAAATAATTCATCCTTGAGCCCAGCACACATCTCCGGATTCCTGGAGCAAATGTAATTCAGGTTTTGTTTGCAAACCTGACTGGTCGGCATTCCTCTCACTGAGTGCGGACTATCTGTGGAGTGGTCTCCCACCTGTGATAAGTTATGCCAAGAAGTTTCGCGCCATGAAGCGATCTTCGGACAAAATATTTATCGAACTTCTATCTCGGCTTTCTGTCCTTTAACCTCAGTTCAAGGGGGGTTCGATTATGGCTCTCAATGAATCCCCTTTCATTAGCTACATTCATTGGTCCAGCACCGTAGAAACCCTCCCAAATTACAAGTGCATCGAAAATTCTGCCGGTGCTGTGTACACGGAGTAGCATTTCCTCATTCACACACTCTGTGTATTTAGCTTGTATTACCCGAGAGCAGAAGCACACATATATATACATGTACACATACGTACACACACGTACACACACGTACACACACACACGTACACATACGTATGTACATATATACATATAAACATGCTCTTGTTCCGGCTTCTACTTGCTAATAGAAATTCAACTTGCTGCCCTCTTATGGATTGTTTGTTCACGCCAATACGTTTCATTGGATTCTACAGCCTTATCAACTCATTTTACAGAAAATTCACTGGTTTTCATTTTCTCATTCTAGAGTCAGACAATGAGCCGCTTAATTTCATCAGAGGTCACTTTAGAGTTATATGCTTCGTAATACTGGCCCCTGTCCAGACGTTGGTTCTGTTATTCGTTAGCACAAGGAAGCTTGTTCCTAAGCCTCTCAAACACAACTGCAATAAGAAAAAAGAACCGTTTGCCCTACTTTCAGTCTTTCGCTGGTAAATGCCAGAGGTATCAACCACCCTCCGAAGTCTAGAAATTCATGCTTTTCGTGCAACTATTCAAGGTATCAGACAACTGACAACTGGTCATTAGCATGGTTTACCGATAAAACCGGGTGACTTATCGTTGTGTAAGACATTATTTTCTGATTTTAATCTAGTGCGCGGAAACCGTTGCATCTTTGCTACTGAGATCTGCTTCCTTGTTATGACCCAGGCGAGCACTTGGACGCGTTGTCTGCTCATTCGCTTATTGTGCAGCGAAAGTGAACCAGCTATGCACGAACTGTAAGTTGATAGTTAAAAGGACACCCAAAATACCTGTAAAACCATAGTTTGAAGCAACTAAACTTGAAGTTTAGTTTTATCACCTGACGGTATTTATTGGAAACGTCATCCCGTCGGAGGTTTGCCAAAACCATTCAAGCGTTCTTAAGGTTAGGTATGGCTAAGGACTCGTGACAAAGGGAGACGGCCATAAACCAGGGATATTCCCAAGTCCATTGAGGGCGTGGCGTGGTTCATTGCTGCCACTCAGATGAGATGATAATACAGACATATCTAGACTGGGGACTCAAAGTGGGAAAATTGTCAATACGTCTCATAAGAGAGCTCAGCGGGATAAGTTAGGGTGCATTCTAGAATGCCAGGCACCAAAGAGTGTTTGAAATTCCTAACCTCCGTGGCAAACTGACACCATCCGTTTTCCCAAGCGATAGTTGACATTCAGCCGGAGATATTTGGGAATGGCGGTCGAAGCGATTGTGTGTGGTCATGTAAGAATATGAGGAGCATGCGTTAACCAAATTGAACACCACCAGGGTGATAGCCATCAGTGTAATTGGCAATGAAGCTGCACAGGAGGGGAAGTTGTGTTAGTAAACAGCTTCATATATCTCACTCGAAGCGCGTGTTTTTGTCGCCGGCTCATATGAACCGGTGGTTGGCTGGTGGCTACTTGAAGAGGTAGGGTTATCATGTACTGGTACATCTGGGGAAAACGTGTGATAGGAAGCCATCACAGACGGATTTCGCAACGGTACGGTAATGCTCATTCAGCAAGTGGTTGAGAAAGCACAATCATACCGGTGACGTGAAAGGCTGTTCTATATTGCACGTTATACAAAAAGAGGTAGTATCAAATTCTGAAAGTAGGTGGGTCTAGAAGAATTGCTGGTTTAACTCATGCCAGGACAAGATTTTGGAGGAAAATGCGCTGCACACGGTCATGTATGTGGTTAGAGGATGAGGGAACCTCAGGAAGGCACATTTGCAGCACAACGAAAATGGTACAAGCCTTGAAAATATAAATGCCACTGGGGATTACACCAGATGCAAAAATTGAATCTCCGCTTACCTTCACACGAGGCGTTATGCAATCGGTTTTAGATTCATAATGGGATCGCCCAAGATCTATGCTAAAACCAGGTCAAGCTTAAGTATGTGGCGCAGCCGTTCGATAAACGCTGTTTTCTTTTTAGTTTTCTGCATAAATTGTCGACATTATTGATGGATTCGACGGTGAGCCCATTGCGCTTATCAAAAGGTTGTTTACCATGCCCACAATGGGGTTTGTTACTTAAAGAATTTGTGGAGAATCAGGGGTTAACTGGGCCTTTTCGGTACTAATCAAGTTAAATCTATCATTTTGAGTGTTGGAATGAATCGGAGGAAAGTAGATCCTACATCAATGAAGAAGGTGGACTATGTGGCTCAGAATGGAGCGGAAGGTTACTGGGAGGATGGCGTACCGCTGAAGTGAGACTCGCAAACCAAGCAGTCTTTTTTCCGCAGAGCTAGTGAGTGCGGAACGGGAGTACTTGGTACAGAAAGACTTGGTATGTATTTAGGGTAGAGTAACTGCTGCAAAGCCCACAGAAAGGACACATGTGTATACTTAGGAAAATAACACCAAGTGGATCGATGTTTGGGAGTACGGGTCCATCAATTTTTCAGAGGAAAAAGACGGGATTGGTGGCATCCGGCCATGTATGCAACTAGGATGTGGGTTGAAGAATCTTTGTTCTTGTGGAAACGAGATGGAATAAACCTTTTATTCCATGGTCAGATTTTATCACGAGTGGCTCTTCTGGCCGACTATTAATCAGGGTATTTAAAAGTGAAGGTGAGGTGAAGGTGGGTGGTAATACACCGGCATGTGCGATGAGTTAGACAAAGCCCAAACACATAAGAGACATGGAAACAATCCTCGGGGCGGCTTGCGAGAGCGATCGGATTTGAGCGTTTTAGGTGCACCTGAGCTGTAGAAGCATTTTTAGACTGTAACCGGAAACCGTAGATCAAGGGAGATAAAATTGCCACCGTGGTTGATTGCGGAATGGTTCCAAGTTTCAATGAGACTAGAGGGTATCTGCATCGGTAACCCAGAGTGGAATTAATTCCCGGTGTCCTAAAGAACCAGAAATGATTTCAACTGACCGCCTACTCACTGGATCCTCGCGATGGTTACATCAGTGGGTACATGACGCATGAAGTTCTTGAATCCTAGTGATTAATTCTGTGCAGCAATCATGCGACAGCGTTGTATAAGAATCTCTTCAGCTTGAATTTCGCTGCCTCCATTGTAGCGACAGTGCATTATGATGAGAGGTGGCTGTTGATAATCATATTAGGCCGTCATGCAAAGATGAGGAACCATAGAGAAAGGGCAAAGAAGTGACAGCCTTCCAGTTGCAAAAGGCAGCCAAATTAAGTGATATTGCGAACGGTTTTGATGATGTATTAGTTTATGTTTCCCACAGGAGAAGATCCCCTGACAGGTAGTTACTTCCACTTAAATTCGTCGAGAATGCCGGATTGCCTCCTGAAAATATGCACATACCTGATAGCGGAAACAATTCAGTGGCGCATAGTGGCATCCATTTCGCACAATGCACCAACTTTTCTGTAAACACTATATTATGCGCAGTTAGAGGGTCAAGAACAACAGAGTTTTGGCAAGCTTCTGGGAATCACTAGTTTCGTTGTGTCAGTCGGATGGTTAGGCCTGGCAGGAAAGCTATGCAAGTACCCAACTTGTTCGACTGGGCATTAGAATTGTTTGAAAGTTATCTGTGATCTGGGCCTTTAATATTTGCAGAATTTTGGATTTTCGATTTATTTGTAAACCGGCAACTACATACAAATTAGCGTTTTGGTTGACCTTGAAATTCTACTCACTTAAGCAAGCAGCTACAAGCAACACAAAACCAAAACATGCAGTCGCACGAAGCCAATTCCCTGTGAAATTTCCAACTTCGAATACCCCATAGTTTCGGCCAAACTAGTTCCGGATTGGCTCTAGAGATCGGCACCCGTGTATTGAAGCCACTTGTCTGACACTAGTCATTATTCCGACGTATACTGTACTCTACCTCAATCTGCCTCGCTTGTCCTTAACCTAGATGAGGCGAGTTTGCACTTCCACGGTGCAAAGCGTCTCGTTGGCCAAAGTCGCGGGAGCCACATATTTTGCCCCCTTATTATATGGGGAATATTGCAGATGATCTCTTCAATCTCACAGAGTGGCGACGCAGGCGAAACCTCCTCGCCAAAGTCGCGGGAGCCACATATTTCCCCCCTTATTATATGGGGAATATAGCAGATGATCCCTTCGATCGCACAGAGTGGCGACGCAGGCGAAACCTCCTTCACACTTGCTATTCAAGCAACACACAAAGCCGGACCTGAGAGAGGGAACCGTACGCACCAATCCGGTTCGCCGATGTACCTACTGAACGTATCAAACATATCAAACGCAGCGACCTTCGAAGAGCGCCGCTTTTGCTCCGCGCGGTACCTGCATGAGCGGCGTGATGTCTTTCCACACGAAGTCAATAGAGCGTATTCTGAGCCCGGTAGCGCAGCAGGTAATATGAAGTCACTGATATTGTGTGTATTTTTAGGTCTCGAAGTTGATCCTGCTATTTGAAGACGCAGGAACAGGTACAGAAATCCCTGATCTCAAACAACGTGTGAACGTAGTTAAACTTGCTGTCGATAATCTAATTAAAGTAGATGGTTCATATTTTCTGTTCAGCTTTTTGCAGGTCGGGTATGACACGATAGCCGCAAGCGACGATGAGTTGCTTCGCCGCGACATGCCCCCCTCTCTCAAGCGCGTGGAGGATGCATCCCATTATTTACAGGAGGCGGTTTTGCTGTTACAGAGTGATTCAGGATCAGGCGCGGCCCGAAAAAAGCTTATAGAGGGGTCCAGAGGTTAATCGCTTCTCTGTTGACGATTACGTTATCAGGTATCCTCCAGGGAACCTCCTCAGTTCTTCTCACTTTCGATATGTCTGAGGTTCGGAAGATAATAGCACATTGCAGGACGGTTTTGAACGTATTGGTAACAACAGACGAGGTGGATTCACTTGCCCAGTTGGCTGATTTCGTCAAGGTGAGGTCCCGGACTACGCTTTTTACACTATTAGCGACTCACACCGTGTATGGCGCACATGATCAAGGAAGTAGACAATCGGCAAGAAGAGCTCACGATCCAGTCACATGCCGCATTACTTCGTCGGGGTATCGAGCAATTGAAACGGCTTACGCCGATACTCATTTCATCTTTAAAACTGCATATCAATGCTTATCAGAACGGTACGTACTGTGGCTTACATGATATGCTTTGTTGCAGCATAATGGCGATCTCTTTACTACCGATGCCACTTTACTAATGTTTTAATCCGTTATTCCGCTTCTTAGTTAAAATTTCGAGTTTTTAACTATGTCTTAGTCTCCATGTTAGCTCTAGCGATACAAAGGTGCACTGGTGACATTTCTGAGGTAATCTTCCCTTCGTGAGGATTTTGTACACGTTGTAATGTTAGAAAACATGGACAAGGAATACACTGCTATTCTGAAGTACAGTTGACAAGCTTCGTTTATCGAAACCTCCTCTGAATACATGATATTTTCTCGTAACCTGGTGATGAGTGGCCGGCAACCAACTCAAGCATTTACGGTAGTGAACCGTGAAGGACTCATGGGTTTAAATGGTGTAATTTCCTGGAATGGTGATGTTAGCTGCCTGCTGGAACAGTGTCCAACCCATGTGTTTACTGAGTGGGTCACCTTTAATTTCTTTTAGTTGGCTATTTCATGTGATTTGTTTCTAATTCGGTATGGTGGTAGGTAGAGTTTTTCTAGTGACATGAATGTGATCCGGTTGCCTTTGCCCTACTTCCATATTTTAGAAGCCATATGTAGTAGCAGAACACAAAATACAATATGCGGAGATTTCAATGTAGTATGGATTGACAATAAGATAGCTATTTTTGGGACAGTACATTTGACTGTTCCATTTGTATTTACGTTAAAAGGGTGATGAATGGTGTGAATCCGAAATTCACGTGTCTATAGACAAAATTCTTCTGTTGATATGTTTTCGGTCGATCCGTGGTACGTTTTAGTCATTGATATTTTGAGGTCAGAACAAGTCAACCTGGATCACTGGTGTAGCGTTGGATTTCCTTTAAAGGGTGCACTTCAGAGCGTCCAAAGAAATGATTTCCATGCGCGTTATTTATTGTCCCGTGTATCTAGACACTTTTTTATTGCAAAGCGGATAGACTAGAGCATGCCACTGCCATTCCATCCATCTCTGTTTACCGTGTACCGTCTGACCCACCTTATGCATGATCATCGTGGACAGCAACACACCATTAGTGGAAACGTGTTTAACTGCAATACAGTCACGGATAAGGCCATAATAAGTGAAAAGCAAGGAGAGGAGTGGTATCGATTACACCGTGTAGGGTTTCTAACCGCGTTCGAGTGCGCGACGACCTCGCAGCACCCATCTTGACAAAAGTTGGTGTCACTTTGGCTTGACATGTCATGGGCGTCCTCCGTGGGCTATTCTGGAACAAGAATTTGAAGTGGAAAACGTGGCTTGCTTGATAGATGATGGTCGAAAACATCCACACCAACAGATGGAGATATCATTCATCCAACGCAAAAGTACGCCTGACCTGGGTGGTCTGCACCTCACACTTTCCAAAGGTGGTGAAGCATTGGTGAACAGTCTGATGACCCTGTTGTGGTACATTTTGGACGAACACAGTACCACTGGATTGAAGTACATCGATAGTGGCTGCAGACTTCAAGAAGGGCGTAAGTGGGTGCAAAAACCATCGTAGCATTAGTCGGGTAGCCATGGCATTCAAATTGTATTATTTTGCGTAGGTTGATCGATTATCACGACAGGAGTCAAACTGGGTTTCGCCCTGGCAGACGATGCATCAACCATATATTTTCCCCACGTTAGTCGTTCTCCCTGATTTGAGAGCTGCTTTTGGCTCTGTAGATCGTCAGAAGCTTTGGCGGCGTTTGGTGGCCAGAGGTGCACCTTCCAAATTTTTATCCCTTACGAGGGCATCGCATGCGAAATCCCATGTCTGCGTACGAACGTACACCACGTCCAATGTGGTAAGACAGGGCTGACCTCTCATCGTTTCCCCTTAGTTTTGTAAATGATGTGTTGTTTTACGTTCCTCCGCCTGCCCCTGACCCTTCCGGGATCGAAGCGCTGCCC